AGTCAGATGCCCGCACAGGTACGTGCAGTGGATCGGCAGCAACTTTACGGAGGAAATCCTGGTCGATGGGACTTTTCCCCTATGGGATTAAAGCTTCACTGTTTCTGAAGCGTTGTCCCAGAGACAGGCAGCAACGTGACATTCTACTAAAAAATGACATGCTGCTCCTCCTTTCCCTTTCCTACAAACATATTATTCTTTGAAATGAGATTTTGCTAGAATAATTACAAAAAGACATATTTTTTGAAAAAGATCTTACTTTTGGAGAAACCAAAACAATTGTTCCAAAACAGAAAATGTAGGTTTTTAAAAATACAAAAATAAGGCTAATGGCTTTTCTAGAATTTAAGATTATTACTGCTCAAGAATCATCAAGTGGTATTTTGTAGTAGAATTAGCTTTTCCAAAATGATGTAATTTATTACAACAGAGCCTATGAAGCTATGAAGCTTCCTAGCTAACAAGGTAAGACAGCCATAATTAAGCATCTTTTTTCTTCTAAAAACTAATAACTTTTTCCTTTTTTTCTTTTCAAATGCATTAGAACTAATTTTAAGTACCCCAACCATGCAAGTTCCTCTATGAGGCTTCACATTTTCCTTCCCCAGTAAGACTCATTCAAAGTCTGAAGAGACAGCTTAAGTGAGACTTGAGCTGTATTTCTATATTGCGTTTAACACCAGCACCCTCAAAACATTCCAGTGAAAATGCCACTTTCTTCCACTCAACTGCCCAGAGAACAGACTGAGCCCCAAAAATTTTAAACAAAAAGACAGATTCAATGAGGAATGGCAACATGCCGTTATGTGAGAAGTACATGCATATGCCTCCATGTGATGACGAGATGCCATGCAGAGATACCTGAGCTGGCTTGGAAGTCCCTGAGAAGCAAGGTGTGTTAACTCAGGTGGAGTACCGTACTGACACCACTATCTCCCGTGTGCCCACTAGCTCGGGGCTTGCCTACTCATCCTTGTCTGGTTGGCTGAGCTGAAGATGTTACTGCCTCCAACTACTGTTCTCTCCCTTCCAGTCTCCCAGCTGACCTCTCAGCATGCGTGCTTCTTCAGGCACTTCAGTTAAAGCCAGCTGGGTTAGCTTAAACATTTAAACATCAGTTCTTTGCTAACCAAATAATTTTGACTGAGACAAGGTAGGAATCAGTCACGTGAGCAATTTGGAAAAGGGAAAAGTCCTAAAAGGAGAGCACAACTCGAAGAGGATGTCTGAACATGGCCCTGGGTGTCTCTGCACTGTTTTTTCCTGCACTCTCTAAAAGCAGAACAATCGCAATCGGGGGGGGTTTACAGCATTTAAGAATCAGTTGCTGATATGACATTTAAAATCAGCTGAGTCTAAGCACAGCAGAGCATCTCTCCCCAATAAAAATAATGAAACTATTGGCTGTCCCCAACCATCAAACCTTGAAAGGCTGAAGCCAGCATGGAGACAAACCAATGCATGTGCTCCACTGTGCCTAGAAACCCTGGCGCTCAAGCAGGCAACACATCAGGTCACATTCATCACAAACCTTGTTCCCTTAACAGGTATCTTCTAGCAAACACCAGGACTAGCCCTCAGATCACCAGTTTTAACACCAGAGACTGGAATATCCTTTCTGTAAATGACATCAGCTAAACAGGGGTGCTGCTGGTCTTGTCCAGTAGGTTCTGGCATGGTGTTACAGCACATATTTGGCATGCTTATCTTTCAGACTGACTAGGAAGGTCTTGTTAAAACCCTGTGGTGACAACCGTGTTTGAACATGACTGCTACTATAGAGCTGCAGTTACAATCTGGATAATCAACAGTTATCTGTAGGCCTCAAAGTATCTACCCCTCACTGCAGCTGCTTGGTTTCTAATGAAGAAATGCAAACAGTGTGACCAGAAAAAAAGGAAAAGTGAAAAAAAATGGCAACGATGCTTTAATGTTTGTTTTTATTTCTAGCATATTCCATGTTAATTAACATTTATTTTGGCAATTTTTACTATTCAGTCACACCTAATGGTACATAATGAGCTTTAATCTTAAAAAAAACAATCCACACCTCTAGGATCTGTCATATTGTCTTAACACGCAGTTAACATCTGAAATAAATTCAAAATAAAATTCATTTTCAGTGGCAGAAAGACAACTTCAGCAATGTCAAATAACCAAAGTTCATCTACAGCAGTTGAAATAATAAGCTAAAAAGTCACAAATTTTCTCATCTGACATAGCTGCAGAGTGAAATTATGGCACACACACTGTCAGCTTTGTAAGCCAATAACTACATTAGGCAGATTTCTGCCAGGATGCCTAATTTGCAGAGGAAGCCCATAAAAACAGTAACTAGAATTTAGGTCAAGTTATTGGCAAGTTCTTCAGTCCATACTCGTATTGACTTTAAAACATCGGTAGTGAGACAGCTGTCTTTCTCCACCGAAAGAAGTCAGCGATTTGGCCAACTCTGTAAATGCTCACCTTGAAAATTTGCTGGGCCCCTCCCCATCTTCATCATCGAAGTCCATTCTGTAAAAGCAAGATTTCCAGATCAGTAATCGTGATGCTGGCAATGATGACATGAACATTCAAGCCAGAGGTTCTCGACCCTGTTTGATTTATATTTTGACTGGAGGTGTTAACGACTGTAGATTCCAGTCTTGCTCATACTCTCCAGACCCCCTAAACGTAGCTCATCAGCTGCCAGGAATACAAAGAATACAAGTTTTAAAAAAAATAAAGTAATAAATCACTGTTCTGCTCCACAGAAATCTGCACTGTTAAAATTAACAAATAAAAGGAAACATTAAACAAATGCTGCTCTTGTGAGATGGTCAGAATTAGTATCTGTTAGGCCTGATTCAAGTTCACAGAAATCAGTGGGGACTCTGTGTTAGAGGACTGAAATTAAGGCTAAAGAAAATAAAGTTCTAAAGCTGTACACATAGTAAACACCAAGCCACTATTTTTGCCCCAGTCTAAAGAAAGCATGTTAGAGGTAGAGCAGAATAAACTCCCAGACTCCCTGCTAAGGTGATTATCTATGTCACCGCTATTGATTGTAACTGTGGTACATTCTTTAGACTCACACAACATTACCAATCATTTCACACAAATTACCAGATGGCAACTACTTTGTGGTTCTCCTGTGGTCATTACTAAAATGACCTATGGGTCTACCGTTCACCTAACTTACCTCATTGATGTCACAGACCTTCTCCTGAAGTCAGCGGAAGAGATGAGCTCTTGCTTGGGCCAAATCCCAGGCCTCCACTTAGGCTCCTCAAGGGAGCCACAAAAAGCAAGAACTTCTTTCTTCACTTCTTACACAGAAAGACTAGGAAGATTAACTTCCTAAATCAGCCACCTAAATCAGTTTCCTGTGTTAGGCAGCGTGCTTGTCTCCTTCCCATTGACATTAAGTCACTATAAGTTATGCAAAAGTATAACTTCCAAAGCATTTTATACATTTTTATACCTTTAAAAAGAGGTGGACAAATGTATATCCCAATTATAAGGGGGTCACTCTGCCATTAAGGCAGACTAAGAACCAAGCTGAAATAAAATTTTTATATGCAATTATTGTATAAATGTATTTAATAAGAAAATACATTAGTATGATATATGGACCTTGATCAGTCACTGAAATGTGATTTGTGTAGATAGGAAATCACAGTTTTGTTTTGCACACAATTTTGTTGGGTTTCTTTAACACTCTAAGCTTTCTAACATTTCAGTGTAATAGAACTTCATAAAATAAAAAACTTCCATCTCCCTAATGCTCTTCATATTAACAACAGATATAAGTCATATTAAATGCAAAAACCCCAAAACGTTACAATAATGTTTATCTCAGTATTAAAAGAAACCCCTACCAATTAAAAATTAGGATTTGTACGTTCAGTGTGTGGGAACAGTGAATTAAAAATGCCCTCTCAAGCTATGTCAGCACAGAGAAGTATGAGTGCCAGTCAGGCAATACTGCCTTGCTTCCCAGCTCTGCTAACCAAGACAGACTGGTCTATAAAAGATGTCACAGCAACCTATGTACAATCAGGACAAGGGCAGCAAATAAGCACAGGAATTGGAAACGATATTAGAAAAGTCACAATAATATTTTCCAGATGGTAATAGCGATTATTCATTTCTGGAGGAAGCAGGAGGAAAACCATTTTCCCCAGAGTCTTAAGAAAAGATGTGTATTTAATTTGTTTAAGTTTGATGCAATCATCATTTTCACTACAAATCACATTTTTGCTCACCTAATTATCAGTGACCTCTCAGCTGCCTGGAGTAGAACACCACCGGCCTCCAGCAGCCAGCACCCTCGGGGGCCACGGGGCTAAGCCAGGATCCAGCCGGCGTGCTGCTACCCCTCACCCCAAATGTGGCCTTCAGCGCTGGCACCAGTAGCCTAAATCTCCCCGACCCGCTGCATATGCAATACTGCCAGCAAATTAACATTTACACATCACCATCTAGCTGAAGGTCTCTTCTTACCTACCTGCTTCTTCCCCACATATAATAATGTGCTGGTAGGTGACAGCCCAGACCTAACTTCCAAGTTAGTTCGATTACAATGTTTCTACCTACACCAAAAACGTGAAAATCAGCGTTACAGGAGAGCTGTTTGTTTACAAGTGGAGGGGACTCTCAGGCCAGCAAAAGCATCAGGTCAGGTATAACCTTCACTGGTTTCACTGGTAACTGAGACACATCTGAGAGAGACACCCAGTTTCAAAGTTGGGGGGCAAGAGCAGCAGAAAACACATATGTCTACAGGGGGAAAAGCCTCTTCAAGGATTTAATAAGACACTGCTTTAATTTGGGATGGATTAATTTCATAATTCTTTTTCTTTGATACACTGAGATCCTGTATTTTTCTTAGCTTCCAGCCAAATACTCCAGCTGAGTGCTAAGAGGTGGATTTTCCCCCCAAAATCAAATATTAGCTCTACTGCATTTAGTCTGGTTTGTAATTACTGGAATATAATGCTGAGAAATACAGAGCCTGGTGACAGTTTAAGGCCTGATCCTGCTGCCCGTGCTGTATACCTGCTTCCAAAGGAGTAAGTGGGACCAGCACACCTATTTATCTAGATGGCTGGATATCAGCTTCTCATCTTACGAGATCCTGACGGGTTAATATCCATGGGTAATACCTACCACGTTTATAGTGAGCTCATCATGGCAGAATCTGAGAGTCTAGGGTGCAATACCACACTGTAGTAGACTAAATCTTTAAATAATTCCTTTGCTTTGTTAAACTACCTAAACCCCTTGACTTTGTTCCAAATGCAAGATTATTTAAAAAAAAAAAAATTAACATAAAGTTCATTAAAAACGTCAATACTTGTAACGTAACTCTGTCTTGTAACGTACCAGCAAATGTACCTCTGTCCGGTCTTTGTCAATAAACACATTCCCTAATTTCACATTTCACTGTGCAAAATGAAAAACCCCTTTCAAAAGGTGAAAAAAAAAAAAATCTCGGGTATAAAGTCATTGATTCCAATGTCCTGCCCGAACGACCATGTCTGCTTTACAGGAAGGTGGAACAAAAGATAGGGAATCAGTTGCAACCTTCTGCAGAACACAGCAGAACACAAAAATAATATTCCAACAAACACCTCATACCCTGACAGATAAGATCTTCTGTTCAGATAGAATTTATTGCACATTAGCAAAACAGTACAAGCAGCCTCCAAGAAGATAAATGACATCATTTCAGTAGTTTCAGAAAGAGGATCTTTTATCTTCATTTAAAATTCTCATTAAAAAGAGACTTTAAAAAAAGACCTGCACTATGCTCTTTTGTTTTGAAGAGACAGCATAAATCTTGTTTTCCTCTTTCATACTGTTCATGTCAATCGTAAAAAGGTCTGATGTACGAGGTACTTATTAGAACATATTTTCCTCAAAAGATGTGTGGGTACCATAAACACCGTGACAAAAATATTCTTTTAAAATTATTTATTTTTCATTAGAAACATTTTCATACAAAAAAACCCTCCAACAAGGTGGTCCTGCACGGGTTAAAAAATTGAGATGGGAGAGGACTGGAACATTGCAACAGAATTACTATGTAAAATTCCCAAGAAATGTCAAGAGATGGGTTGCCATGATTATACAGCGTAGGAAGGGGGCAGGCAGGAGCGCCCAGGTGCAGATGCAGCTGAGGCAGATGGGGATCCGTACCACAGCCCTTTGTTCGGTGCAGTATAGGGGGGTACGCCCGGGGAGGGAGGCTGGTGGGCTGTCCTCTCTGCCTTCCCATCTCTTACAGTTCTGGGTCAGAGAAAAGACAAGGCTGCACTGAAACAAAACCAATGCATCTGTAAACCAGCCAAAGAGAAACCCCACCAAGCCTCCCTCTCCCAGTACAGATTCCCTAGGACGGTAAAAAAGCCCCATGTCCTCTAATACAGCAAAGCCTAAACAAAGCCCACATTAAACAAAGAATTGACGTTACATTTATCCAAGGTAGTCACTGACCACTGCAATGCATTATCTTATGCACTACTAGGCTGCCACTTTTTTCTATAAAGTACTTGGTATAATTTATAGAAAGGAAAAATATTTTTCTGAGCTGTCAATGAAGCTGAATGCCTACACAGCAGAAACAACTTCTGGATAGCCAATGAGTTTAAACTGATCTACATTCAAGTCCATACAGCAATTATTCTGACAGCTTGCCTCAGCAATTATGAGAAAAGAAACAATTTTCAGAGATAACCAAAGCTGGAAAAGATGACTGTGTTCACTAGCTACAGTCCTTTATGTTTGACACAAAGCATTCATTTCTAAAATGCCCAAGGATTTAGGTGTACAAAGACATATCACCAGGACAGTAATGAAAGGCCCAAGTGTTAGATGCAACTTTGTCCAAAGAAAAGCTAGGAGGAATTAGACACAGCAAGCATTCTTTCGCTCAAGGTCTGAACACATACACATTGAAAAACAACAACAAAAATGCACCCTCAGCTCAGGCTTGGAGGAGGGCTATTAGTACAGAGCTACGGTGTACAGATAAAACACCACTGTCTGGGTATAACAGCAAATCTATACTAACTAACTCACTGAATTTGCATGTTAAATACACTTAAAAAAATTTGATTTTGTGTTCCTCCCACCCTCCCCCCACTCCACTTTCTTACAAATAGATGATGATACTTAAAATGCAACGGTTCAAGCATAGCTTTCAATTAATATCAAGTCAGTATTTCATATAATCAGAAGATTTCACAGTGAGCAGCATGAACCCTTGGTAACAGTAATTTGCAAAATGGCATTTGCAGCTGACATGGTTTACGATCAAAAGAGAGATCAACTACTCTGCAACTCAAAGTACAAAAGCTTATATATGTTATGTATCAATGAAAAGATGTTAATGCTTTGTTTTCTCTTCTGAGTGCAAGTTTGAAAAGGCTTTTTCATTGAACAGTTTCAAAATAAAAATGTGATGCCTGTCAAAGACAGATTTCAGAGTTTCTCAGAGCAGTTTCATACAGTTAGCTCGTCATATGAAGCACACTCAGCGAGGGTAAATCTCCAAATTGTCCTGTCCGAAGGTGCCCCGCTCGGAACAAACATCCTGAGTGTTCACACCACACCAACGTAGCTCGGCATCCAAGGCAAGTTCCACCTCCTCCCCTTGTAAATTCCTTCCAGGATTGAGACTCCAGCACTTGTTACTTGAGCACACACCTAAAACTGGCAACGTACCTTGGCGAACAATCCCTAGAGTAGCTCTCACAAGGAATAATGTCGTCTCCTTAAGTGTCTATCAGTGAAGACTTTACTCACACTGTCAATCCTGTTAAGCCCTACCACTGTCATATTTAGGGCTAAATACAGGACTGATCAATCTCTTTCGCAGGCATGCTCAGATATCTCTGAGAAAGCATCACCTAAAGACCGTTACTTGTGATCAACCTTTGACAAAAACAGGGGGGTTTTGTTAATACTAGAGAGTAGTTTTCTGCCCTTTTGCAGCTCTTGCTACACTTTTCTTCTAACAAAGAGGATTAGTATGAGTTGCCAGAGAGCAATCTGATGTGGAAAACCTATCCCTGCACCACACCAACATCTGAACTTGGATAAAACAAATTTTCCTCTTTAGCAGAGCCCTCAAGCTAGTGCAAGGGCTGAACTTTATTCAGGTCCTTTCTCCCAGAAGCAGACTATGCTGCATTTCCAGTGAGACGTAGAATATCATAGACCACAGTCTCTGAAGAGTGACTGCTGCTGCTATTTCTGTACCTGGGACTAGAAAGAATACATTTTTCACAGAAGGCCTCTATTTGAGAGATTCCAAGTCCAAACTTCAGATGAAGTTAGGTAAGTCTGTATGTGCAAGTAAGAACACATCTCACTACCTTTATTCACACAATAAATCTTTTTGTGATTAAACAGATGTAGGCAATACACATTCATTACATGTACAACAGCCATGGGATCCAAACTCCGTTTCTGGATGCTTTGCCAAACCTGAAAGTCTTTTGAAGGATGCAAAACAACAAACTTATCAGCGAGTTTGATCTTGCAGGAAGAACAGAGACATTGAAAAGAAAAACAAAACATCAGTGATTAATGCCGTAATGTAGTTTACATACATAAAAATTACATAATAAAGACACACACATAGGTGCATTTCCAGTTTTTCAGTACCAGTCATTTCAGTTTCATACCTGAAAAAAACAAGAAATGGCTTACCCAGAGCGGCGCTTTCCTCCTCTGGAAGGCATGGATCCTGCCATTCGCACTTGTCCACTTGCCATTGGTGCCACTGGCAAGGCCACTGAGCCGGGAATATCTGATGCCATTTCTGTAATACAGAGGTGGGGAAGGAGGGGGGCAGAAAAAAATCCTTTAATCCATTACCTTCGAGGAGAAACCTGCGAGGACATTAGAGAAAGGCCCTTTCGAAAATAAACACAGAAAGCTTTCCTTTTTATTTCTAAGGAAAAGTAAATCCCTCCCATCAAAGACCAGCAGATTCACAGCTCCCTTAAAAGAAGCCCAGTTATGTCAACAGCCATTACGAGTGCCTCAGGAGACAGAGAGAATCACAGGCAGGTACCTCTATATTTCAATTTACCTAATGGTTCAAATTTTACCTCTCAGAGGGGCTGTCAGATGAAGGCCAACAGCCTTTTACAATAGTTAAACTGCCCTGTAGAGAAATGCAGAGCTGAAATCCCAAGACAAATGAAGCCGCGGATCACGGTACCAGGGTAGCAAGAAAAATAAAACTTCAAAATCTTCTCATTTGCCAGTGAGGTCAAGAGCTTAGAGCAGGGATGAATTATCAGGTAACACTGGTTTTTATTATTTATATTCTGGTGGCATTCAGAGGACCAGGCTGAACTTAGCAGAGCTCCAAGGCTTCCTGTATTTCTGCATGGTGCCTTGCAGAGCAGAACCGAGCCCGAAATCCAGGCTGGTATTCATCCTTCTGCCAATGCTCTGGGTATAGCCACAGGTTAATGAGATCTTCAAACCTCAAAACTTTGATCTGAGGAACAGCAAGAGCACACCTTATGCAACGGTTTTCAGACCGCTAATGGCAAGTACTTTTACAAGCTATTAATAACAGTTCATTACACTTCAAAAAAGAAAAGTGGAATATAACGTATTTATACCCTTTTCTCCTATCCCGTGGATTAAGCATGTCTTGCCTCTGTGCAACTCTTGTAGACTATGTAAGCAATTAAAACTTTTTTAATGCAGATACACTTCACTCACTCTGGAGGCAAAATCTACAGTCACAACATTTAATTATCTTGAAAGAAAATGCATCCTCCTTTCAACTTTTCTTTCTTTTAAAATTTGGTGGAGCATCTGGAGCTACAGATAAATATATTTACTAATGGAAAGCAAATCTGTTAAAAAATCCTGCTATTTTTTCCCAACAGATAAGTACAAAAGAACTTCAATTACGGAAACAGCAATCCATGTTCTTTCATTATGTCTGGAGAGCACTTCATCTCTGCCACACTTTCTATAAATCCATTATGCTACATTATGCATTTCAAATAATAACATTTTATCTGTTCACTGATTTCATTAATTTCTTCTAGTACATCTACTTTTATTAGGTCCTTTTCAACTAAAAAGCAACAGAGCAAAGTAGTCATCTACTATTTTTCAACAAAGTGTGCAAGAAAAAACGAGACCTCTGCCTACAACACCACACCACAGAAAGTCCCGGTGTGTCTACAGCTGCTGCTATGTGGAAACACTACGTTAATGTATATTAGCATATTTCCTTACAAATAAAAGCACAAGCATCCAAACAACTGGTAAATCACTATTTCCAGAATAAGTACCCTTGGGGATCTAATGCCAACAATTCACTTGGAACGTTCAAACTCACATTTCACGGATAGAACCAAAGGTAATTTTGAAATGCTCTGCTTGCTAATTTATTAAAGCAGATGGTAAAAACCAAAATAAATCTACCTGCAAAGTGTCTCTGTCACTCAGAAACACATTTCAGTATACATCATCAATGAGATCAGATTTTTTTAAAGTAGAAATTGTAAAAGTGTGTAATTTTTACAAGAAAAAAGAAAAAAACCAAAGGCTAGAGGAATGGCCAAACCACAGGCTCAGTTATATCAGTGTCCAAAAACACCTGAAAGGAAACTTCCTCCAACAAACAGATCACTTGTCTGTCAGGGTATAAGCTGAAGAGTTACTGTGCAGGTATCTTGAATCTCAAGAACGGCACATCAGAAACAGGGCCATGAAGAAAGTAACTTCTTATACAGAACAGCCTTCATATATGTCTTCACAGTCCTGGAAGAACAATACCAAGCTCATTGAGCTGACCACTCTAAAAGGATGCCCTCAAAAATTTCCATTTCTAAGATATAAGCACAAGAAGAAGAAAAAAAAAATAAAAAAATCAGGGATCCATGCACATTAATCCACGTGAAAGCTCAACTAAGAGAGAGAAGAGCTTCAGGCCCTTCAAATCAGAAGGCTTTCCATTACGCAACAGTCTGAAGGTGTGACACACCTGCACACACATCAGTGTGTAAGACACGCACTTTACCTTTCCACTTCAGAGTTTCCCATGTCACGGAGACACCAGCCGTTGTGTGACCTACTGCAGCTTTTGTAAGACCCTCAAGAGCGGACATACATACACTGCTACCAGAGGCTGCAGTCGGCTTTCCAAGATCTCTTGCCCGACACAACAGAATTAGAGCTCTGCAGATGGAGAAACCAGGAGGGTTGGGGCTCTTTCAAGCCACATGGCAAATACAGCAAAGAAAGCAAGTCCAGGGGCACCGACACTATGGAGCACACAGAACCTGACCTGCCTCAGCACGAATAGCCGTGAAGCACCTCACACACAATCTCAGTGTACAAATAGTGACACTAGAGCATGAAAGGAGGACTTCAGGGACAGAGCTGACAGAGTGACCCCATTGCTCAACTGCAGCCAACCGGGTGTTGGAAGCTGTATCAAAGTTGGACGGTCGCGTGGAAATAGAAGTACTAGACTGTGGCTGTAAAAACTCGACTCACAAATGGAGCAGGTCCCTGCTGCAGGCTGCAAGAGCTTCTGGGGACATGATGGAATTCCCAAATTACTTCCATCTCTACTCATCCCCAAGCATCTAAAAGGACCAGATCTTTGATGATATTTTTACATTTATAAAAAAGGGCTGGTCAGAAAAGTAGAAACATGTTATCTCAAAAAATGAGGGCAAATCTGAGAAGGCAGGGCGAGAAGAAAAATCTGATGGAAGAGTCAGCTGCTTCTCTGACTGAGCACCTGAGAAGTTACCTGTCTGTGCATGCTCCGGGAAGAAAACAAGAGAGACGGGAAAAAAGTCACTCATAAACTGGAAATTCCCATAGAAATATTGTGGTAGGCATCAATAAAAAAAAAAAAAATTAAAAAAAAAAAACCATCAAAAAACACCAAAACGAAAAAGGAGTGTGCATCGGACACAGACCTAAAGAAGAAAACAAAAATCAGAAGGGTAACCTGCAGTTGTGCCAAGTTACATCAACATGAACTTAGGGCAGCCCCTTGAAAGTAAATTAAGCTATTCTGTTGTAGCATAAACTGGTATGAAAGCCCAGCACTGCAGAAGCAGGTGTCAAGTTGGTTATATAGATTAAAAGGAAACAAACAAACAAAAAAACCCACAAACAAACAAATAAAACCCCCATGCTGGGTCAACAATCTTAAAGACCATGTTTCCAGGCTCCTCTATACCCACATCCAGACATGTGTTAACACTGATGTTCACAGAAGTGTTTCAGCAGCAATGAACATTAGGAAACAAGCTGTTTTCTTTCTGACATTGTACCTTCTGAGAGTGGACTTTCCTTCTGCCAGCAGAAATAAAACAAGTGTTGCTTACTTTACCCAAAATTAAAACATGAGCATAAAGGTATAATGTTCACAAAGTAAAACAAGGTCAGACTGAATGTTCATGAAAATCATCTATAACCATCAAGGCAGTGTTGTGAAAAAAAATTATTTAAAAGAATTTCCTTAGTGTCAAATAGAAATCACATTTCTGCTAAAGAAATATATATAGTATTTAATTTCAAAGTTAGAAAGTTACCTAGAGATCTGCCAAAGAACACAGAAATGCTATTAAAATAAAAGCCACCACAACACTCACAATCTTTAGTGGATATTCTTCCAGTTAGCTGACACCTAACCGCTTTTGTCTTGTCACTGTCATGCCTGGCTGATTCTGCCACTAATACTCATGTTCATCTTGGGGATCCCCAAGGAGCCACACTAATCCAGGGAAAATGTCAGTGCCCAATGTAAAAACAGCAGAATTAGTCCCTCCATTTCTGTCCAGAATTAATTTCACTGCTGAACACTTCAAGCTTGGACATTACATTTTCCTCCAGCGCTGCATATAGGTCACCCACAAAATATTCAGTGATCTTTTTGAAATAAAAGACAATCTGCAAATGGACATTAAAAATATAGGGATAAAATAAAGGGATTTATTCTCAATAAATTCCATGTTCATCGAAAACTTTGTTATAGAGATCTGTACAAAAAACAGCTACTGTGCTCTGCACAAAGCAAAACACAAAAGGCAAGCTAAACACTGCACAGGGATACCTCGAAAGTGCATGTGAGCCACGATCACAGCAAGAATTACAGGACAGCACAATACACCAGGATGAACCTGGACATCTCTTTTTAGGCAGAGAATTATTAAATCACAGCTCTTAAGCCCAAACTTTAAGTCTCAAGCCTCACCCCAGATCTACCACCCAAAATGCAGCTCTAACTCATCTCTGACACGAATTTGTGACTCGCTGAGACACCCCCAGAGAAGCGCAGCTCTTTGGCCAGGTATCTTCACAGCCTGCACCACACAGCTCCGGAGATGGCGTTTCCTCCTCTGCTCCTCTACAGAAACCACAGCCGTACATCTTGCTGCGAAGCTTTGAAATACAACCAGACGCTGTGCATGACAAGACTTTGTAAGTCCATCTTACAAAAGGTCCTATTAACCACACTGTTTTCAGCCACTCGGGCATCCCAGGCTACACTCCACTCACCTACCCGCGCCAGACACGGACAGGGCCAGGTTTAAACCTGAAGCCTACCGGAGAAATGCTTTCACCGACTTCAACAGACTTTGAATCCCCAGCATTAACTTTATCAACCAGTTCCAGGTTCGCTACTACATGTCAGGTACCACTGAGAATGCTCTCCACAGGGCTCTTTTCTCCTTCAGTATCTACTATAATAAACGGGATTAAAGTCAGACACCAGCATCTGATTAAAAGAACGAGATTCTACTTTTATCAATACAAATGT